TTGCCAATATTCTAAAAAGTCTAAGTAGTGATAGAGTATCTGTATTGATTCAGAGCAAATCCAGCTCTGATATGGCTGCAGGAAAGTGAACAATAAACAGTGAAGCTTATATTAATGACATCAATTTACAGCCAGTAACATTGGAGTACATGCTGCGTCGTTTCCTGTGAATCCCTTGTGTGTAGGCAGGTCATTTAAATTCAGTGCTGCAATGGCGATCTCCGCCACTAAAAATTAAAACTACTACTGCAAGTAATTATAGGATGTTAATACATTGACAAGCCAGTGTAGAAAAGCAGCTACAGTAAATAGTATCAAAAACTGGTGCGATTTAATGAATGATAATCTTGAAGATTTATTTATTTTTATTTATTAACCATGTGCAAAAGTTGCGGGAAGTACCTGGTACTTGTTTCAGTCGAGGTTCCAAGCGAACTGAACTGATACTAAAAGGAGGAGTGAAAACACTTCCATCCAGCTTCCTCATGAGTATGTGTCGCTTTGAAGCAGCAGTTTCACGGCAGCATCACTATAACGATCAGCTAAGAATCCCGTCCTACATTGAGGGGGTACTATGGCAGTGGAAAATAAAATGGAGGCAAATATCTGCTACTGAAAGTGACTGCAATCGTACCGTGCAGTGGAAATGAGGCTTAAGAGTAATGACTGTGTGTCTCTTCCTTGTTGTCTGTCCCTCACAGTTTCAATCGCCTGGATCTGCCGCCCTACAGAAGCCTGGAGCAGCTCCGGGAGAAGCTCCTCTTCGCCATCGAGGAGACGGAGGGATTTGGACAGGAGTGACGCGGGAAATTAAAGGAGAATAGTTAATTCAACGGGATTGTTTTTGTTATTAATATTATTATTTTGCATTTGTTTAATCACAGGGCTGAAAAATCACCTTTCATAATAGCCCCTCACCCGGGGGGAGGATCATGTTTGTGAACTGAATCATAGGTTAAAGTCAGAGCAGAACATAGAGGAAGAGTGTGCGTGCTTACTTGTATGTATGTGCGTGCGGTTGCTCACATTAATGCCATTGTGTATATGCATATAA